GCATCAGTTACTGTGTGTGGATGTGGGTGCATCAGTTACCGTGTGAGGGCGCGGGTGTGTCAGTTACCGGGTGAAGTCTCAGGTGTGTCAGTTACCATGTGTGGGGTGTGGGTGTGTCAATTACTATGCAAGGGTGTGGTTGTGTTAGCTATTTGACCCTGGTAGTTTGGACCTCAGGGTCAGGTATTCAAATGGGAAGAATAATACCTGGAAAGCTCTTGTCAATCAGGATCCTAATGTAGTTGTTTCTCTTTTCAGGTATGTGTCTGCTCTGACAACACCAGCACGTCTGTCTCCTGTCGACTTCCATTACTCACTTGCTGCACAGGTACCTACCTTCGAGATCACCTCCCCCAATTCTGCTCACGCGGTGTCCCTTCCACCTGCGGCACCCATTAGCTTCCGAGTGGAAGAGCAGCAGCCTTTACTGCGACGCTATCAGGTGCCCTTCCAGGATATGCAGAGATACGACAGTTACTACCAAAGGAAGAGCTACTTGAATGAGAGCATGGGGAGCCTGCCTTCGAGCCCTTTCCGCATCACGGAGGATGACGAGTATGAAACGACACAAGAGTACATCCCAGCACTAGAACAACCAAAGAAAACAGCTAGCAACAACAGGCGGTGGAAAAGATCTAAACTCAACGGGCAGGTCTCACACAGAGCCCGGACGGTCAGAGACTCCTTCTCAGGAAGCAGTGCTTCATACAGTGAGTCTGATGAGGAGCTCATGGCGGAGAGCACCCCGTTCTTAAGCATTCAAAACACTGAGGCAATGAACACAGATTCACCGCCGCTGTATCGGCCGGGAGACAGCAGGACTTACTATTCCTTCGAGAGACAAAGCGCACAGGTGGAGAGCGGGCAAAGCAGATCGACACACACGAGACCCAAACAGGACTCGGCTCCTCTTTAGAAGCCACACAAACTCACGCACCCACAAACACACCTGTATCGAAAAGGAGGAAAGATATTTTTATTTTATATAAAAGAGGAAAAAATATAACAAATCAAATGTTTTATTTTCATTTTAGCAAAGTTGTCTTATAATAGCTAACAGCAAAGACTTTTTTATAGGGAATCTCTATTTATATGTAACATCTTGACTTACAGCTTCTGAGAGAAAAAAAACACAAAGAAAACAAAATAAATAAACAATAAAAAAAAGATGGGCCAATTTTTGACAACTTAAAAATAGAAAAAAAAAATCGTGGTGCCTTTTTTTGCTGTATGCTAATGCCAGAGTCCATGCTGAGGATTACGTTTCAGTAGCATTCTTAAGATCATAGGTTTTAGTTCAAGACAACTTACCATGTTAAGGGCACTTTCCCATTTGAAAAAACAGCACCCTCCACTTTGCCCCATCTCTGGATGTTTGTGATCTCGTTCTTTAAAACATTGTTATAACACACACAAATGACATGTGTATGTATGTTCTCATAAATACCTCCTACGGGGAATCCATCTTGCCCACTCAAATAGTTGTAGTTTTGCTTTTTTCAGGGTGGGGAAATTACATACCAGAATGCAGAAATAATGGGTTTTTTTGCAACATAGGTAGGAAGAGGGAAAAAAAGCATACAGTAGCAACAACCCTTACAATATATTTGTTGACCGTGTTACTTGTGGGGTCCCAAGTAAAACTGACTCATTTTGGCACGGTTTTGTGAAGTTGTAGTCAAATGAATAAAACGTTTACATGGATGTGGTAAAATATTATGTATTTATATATGGTTGAATCCACTTTATTGGTGCAGACCCTGATGGGAAGGAAAACAGCCCATTGCAGCAGTTACAGATAAGCACTCTTGACTGGTCAATTGTTTTAAAAGACGGTGTTACACTATTGCAAGAAACAATGTGAAGCTTAGACAGGGTTACATATTGGCCATGATAGTGTGGAAGAGTAGAGCAAAGGACATGGAGAAGTTAGTGACAGCACGACCACCAGTATAGCCCTGCTAATTGCTGTAAATCAGCTACAGATAGTGTTGAGCATGCTCCATATGAAATTAATCCCTATTTAAAGTCACTGCAATGCATCCCCAGGACCCTGCCCCGGCCAATGAAACAGGCGGGCAATGTATCAGGAAAGCCATTCAGTGGATTCTTCTGTATCCATGTGCCGTATATTGTAAAGAAAGTTGTTATTGTAATGTGCCAGTGTTAACATAATAACTTGCTATCAAAGATGGACATCACGTTTGGGGCAGCCCTGGCCCCTGGACCCGTGGCTCAAAGAGACAGTGCTGTGTGTCCAAAGAGCGGAACATTCACATGTGAAAGTGCCCCTCCTTTCAGTTCACTGCAGCAACCCTGTTTACATTGTAGCCTGACTTATTTCTTTTTATATTTTCACTTCTGCATGTCCTTTGCATTTCAAATACTGTAGATTGGATGCATGGTGAAGCTGTGACTGAGAAGATAATACAACAATTGACAGTGTATTTCATTTAACTTTTAGCAATAAAGTAACTAAACCCTCTATTCCTCACTCACAATGGGGTCAGATGGAAACTCTGCTAATTAGTCATAAGATGATTGTAAACATTTGCTCTGGATTGTCTGAATGTCTGAACTCTTGACTGTTTAACACTTGAACATTTTTTATATTATAAATAAAATAAGAAATAATTAACGTGTTTCCAGCATTAATCTTAATCAGTGATCAGATTGGGGGTGGGAGGAGTGGTGTTACACAATCCCAAACTCCACCCACAGTCTGAAGCTCCATCCACAGTCCTAAACTCCACTTACATCCCAGAGTAGCTGGATGTTGGAGCTAAAATTCTCAGTCTCAAACTAGCTGAAAGAGACATTTCAACTTTTATGCTTCAGAGTTAACACCACATTGAGGTGAATGGAAGGGGACAGTCAGTCTATGCTTTTCTCAGAGCTATTGTTGCATTCTGTGTTTGTAGATCGAGTGAGACAGCACTGCATCAAGGCGCATTTGGAAGGTTTCCTTTGCAACTGTAAAGCTTAGAAACATGACTCCAATTTTTCAAATGTGGACAGTAATATTTGGGAGGCTTCCATTTTTGTGTGGCCAAACTGACACCTGTTGGGGCAGGAGTCTCAGAGTGGCTGAGAGATGGAGCTGCAGGTGCACTACTGGAAATCAGGCCCAGGGCATCTTAGGATGGACACATTAAAAAAGGAGGAATGCAAAATCAGAGGCCACTTTTGAAAATGTTGACCTTTCATTTCAAATGGTTATTTATTTTATTTTTTTAAAGACAGCTGACATTCTGCCACTGCTGAAGGGGCCAATGGGAAGGTGTCAGTATGAAAAGTCAACTCCCAGACTTGTTTGCAGGCTGACAAGCAGCCTATGGCCATTGTTTATGGGAAGCTACACAGAGGTCTTAACACCTCGCAGCACTTTGTAACAGACCATAATCCTGGTGGATTTTTCTCCTTCTAAACCCCGGATTGTGTTTACAACTGATTAGCTTCAGTCTCGAGGTGTCGATGAAAATGATTGCCACAGGGCTGAAATACAGCTCTGGAATCGGTACAAAGGCATCTTGGCTATACCAGCTTTGTCTCAACCCCATTGTCACAATGCTGTGGGGACAATGAAATGGGTGCATGCCAGGGAGAGAGCATGAGGCCCGAACAGCCTGTGGCTGGCCTTGGTGCATGCGGGGAGAGGGGGGGCATAGAAGGACCTTGTGTACCCCATGCAAATGCCTGGCAGAGGCGCCGTCCAGCACTCTGGGCCCAGGGATGGGTGCCGGCAGAGCCATGCATTAGCCTGTGGTGAGGGAACTACCATCCAGCCCCACACAAGCCCATGGCTGGTGCAGTGTGCACCCCTCCCACACACTGGATAGCACGGGTAATGATTGTGTCTCACTGGAGCACTGGCCCTCCTAGAGCTCTGCCTCCGCCGGGTAGGCAAGGCTGGATGTCAAAGGCACAGCCAGCCCCAGAGAATGAAGGCAAAAGCGCCCCCTGGTGTCCATGACTGAGGCACAGCATCTCAAAGATATTCAGGGGCCTGACGGTTTGAGGTTCTGGACCTGAGTGACTCCCAAAGAAGGAGTGCAAACGGGGTCAGGATTGCCCCCTCCCCAGCAGTCCATTTCAACATCAGCCTCCGAAAGCCTTTGGACCAAATTCTGCCCCCCCTTAAACCTCTCCAAGTCACCTATTCCTTGAACTCAAGGGCCTGCCTGGGGTGTAACCAGGGAGCGTGTCTACATTTGCCCTGGATGTACATGCTCTAGCTTTGCTCAAGTGAGCACGCTAAACGTAGCAGTGTAGCCTCAGGGGCGGGGAGGGGGGGTGGCAGCAGACAACTAAGTACAAGCCCATCCGGGACACAGTACACACTCGGGGCGTAGCCTCTCATCACCTGCACCACTGAGGCTACCTTGCTAGCGAGCGAAGGTAGAGCATGTACGTCCACCTGAGCTGAAAACATCGGCTGTGTAGATGTATCCCGAGCAGCATATGGACAGTCACTGCCTCCTACAGGTTTGTTAAAGCGCATGTAGAGCATTAGCTACATAGGGCTGGGGATTGAGGGTGTTTGGGTCTAGGCCTGACTCTGCCACAGATTTGCTGTGTGACCTTTAGGGAGAAAAATCAGTTGACTTTTCTGCACTGTGCTTTCGTACGAGGTTGAAGAGGGCTGTGGCTGCGTCCCCACTTCACAGGGCGTTGGGCAGTGTCAGCAGCCATGGCTGCAGTGTGCTCTGAAACTCTCCTGTGGAAGCAGCTGTAGCAGGGCAAAGCATTTCTTGGTACTGCTACTGACATGCTGGATGCTAGGCTCAAAGCCCCCAGAGACACAGTGACTGGGGGGTCCCTGGTATCTGTCCCTCCCAGTGGTAGTTTTGCCTCAGAAAAGTGACTGACAATCAGAGACATAGCCATCAACTTTCATGGTTAATGAAAATGATTGGGGGCTGGGTCACATGACTTATGAGGAGAGGCTGAGGGAACTGGGCTTGTTTAGTCTGTAGATGAGAAGAGTGAGGGGGGATTTGATAGCAGCCTTCAACTACCTGAAGGGGGGGTTCCAAAGAGGATGGAGCTCGGCTGTCCTCAGTGGTGGCAGATGACAGACCAAGGAGCAATGGTCTCAAGTTGCAGTGGGGAAGGTCTAGGTTGAGTATTAGGAAATACTATTTCACTAGGAGGGTGGTGAAGCACTGGAATGGGTTACCTAGGGAGGTGGTGGAATCTCCATCCTTAGAGGTTTTTAAGGCCCGGCTTGACAAAGCCCTGGCTGGGATGATTTAGTTGGTGTTGGTCCTGCTTTGAGCAGGGGATTGGACTAGATGCCCTCCTGAGGACTCTTCCAACCCTAATATTCTATGATGCTATGATTTTAAGCCCTTGCACTGGGCACAGCTGCTAATGGCACAGACAGGTTCTTCTGGGGTGGTGGGGGAGGAGTTCTCATGGGACAGCGGCTCTGGGGTCCCACATTCCTTACAGCCCATTGTATTTTCACATAGGGCAGCAGCAGGTACAGTTCAACAAGCCTCTTGGCAGACACAATAAAGGCCCGAGGGGCATGCAAGGGGAAGGACCCTCATGTGGGCCAGCCACGATTGCTAGCCCTGTGCTGAATGAGCAGGCTGCTGCCTGTCAGGCTCCCTGTGCATTACCACCCCAAAGGCCAGTGTTAGGACTATAGGCCCACCCCCTTCCACCTGCCCAGACATGGGGGCGGGGGGCTACATGCTGCATCTTTTTAAGAGGGAGAACAATGATCATGCTTCCCTGTGCAGTGGGGAACCCTGGGATACACTGGCCCTAGCGGCCAGCTCTAGTTCTCCATGCCACCCCTAGCATGGGTCATGGCCCAGCAGTTGCAATCTGGCCCTTTGTCAGCACATGGTGCAGTGAAGGTGACTTGTGCTTCTCCACCTCAGTTTCAGATGCAGAGCGGCTTCT